GTACAAGTTTAGACCAGAATAAGTCCTGGTTTAGTCCAGATTTAGTCCTGGTTTAGTCCTTTAGTCCTGGTTTAGTCCTGGTTTGATATGAGTTAAGTCTTTGCTTAGACTTGTTTAGTGCTGATGAACACACTGGACTTAGACCTGGTTCAGTCCTGGTTTAGTCCTGATTCGGTCCTGGTTTAGTTCTGGTTTAGTCCTGATTCGGTCCTGGTTTAGTTCTGGTTTAGTCCTGGTTTAATCCTGATTCGATCCTGGTTTAGTCCTGGTTTAGACCTGGTTCAGTCCTGGTTCAGTCTTTGTCGTTCTCACAGTGAGGAACATTAAATTTTTTCACATAAATAATAAAAAATGCAAAAATAGATCCGCGTCCTGAACATTCGTCCGTCTGTGACATCACAAAGTGGTCCGATGACATCACCGTGTTCTACCGACCAATCAGATTAAAGCTCCTGTAGCACGCAAACTCTGAGCTTAAACCCATGTTCTAATGTTCTAATGATCTAATGTTCTACTGTTCTCATGTTCCTTGTCACAAACTGAGTTCTGTTTTGTTTCATTCACACATTGTTCCACCTTGTGATGTCATGAAGTGGTAGTTTCCAAGTTCTCAGCTCCTTTTCCTTTTAGTTCAGTCGAGATCGTCGACTCCGGGACTGAAACGATCCAGATGATTCTAGTGAAAAACACTGTGGAGTTTAAAAACACAGTGGAGCACTTCCTGTATCACCACACGATGATGTCACAAAGTGGAACGGAGTGTTTTCAGTTTGAGAGTTTGTGAGTTAAATGTGTGAATGAAACAAAACACAACTCCAGGTCTGTGTGCGATTTGTGATTTGAGCTTTTACAGAGTTCACGGTAAAGTCCAGAGTGACCGAGAGAACCTGACCTCTGACCCCGTCTGAGACTATGACGTCATCACAGTCTATGACATCATCACAGTCTATGACGTCATCACAGTCTATGACGTCATCACAGTCTATGACATCATCATCACAGCTGATTGAGGGAAACATTTGGAAGAGAATTCATCAGATTTTGAATTGGATTTTTGTCCTGGTTGTTTCTGAGTCGGACTCTGGATCAGCTGCTTTGGTCTGAGCCCCGGAGTCTCTGCTGTGAACATGTGAAACTCTGAATTTACACTCTGAATTTACACTCTGAATTTACACTCTGAATTTACACTCTGAAACATTTGAGGCTCAAAAAAATCTGTGCTGAATAATTTATTGTCTTGTTTTTTTTTGTGTAAAAAATATTTAATATATTTCCAGAGAAAAGGTGCGTTCTTTTTGACATGGGTGGAGACAAGAGCAGGACAGGTGGACAGGTGCAGGACAAGTGCAGAGGCAGGTGCAGAGGCAGGTGCAGAGGCAGGTGCGGCTCGTGTGATTGGCTGGTGGTGAGACGGGGGCAGGTGGTTCTCGGGTCGAGTTTGGTTCTGTCTGGATCAGAGTTTTTCTCCTCAGCACAAAGTGTCGGTGTTAAAGGACAAATGCACCTGAGAACGAGAACAGAGAGAGAACGAGAGAACGAGAGCGGAACGTCAACGTCAAAAACAAAATGAAACTCTCAAATCAATGAAAAATAAAACAGAAACAAGCTCTTAAAATTTTAGACAAAAACCCAAAGACCCAAAAAACCCCAAACCCCTAAAAAAGACCAAAACCCCAAAATTCAAAGACCCAAAGACTCAAAAACCCAAAAACGACCATCACTGCATCATCAAGAAACACATTATATTAGTCTGGGAGAACATGATTAAACTCAAACAAAATGTGACATGGTCTGGACTAAAACTGGACTAAAACTGGACTAAACTGGACCAAAACTGGACCAAAACTGGACCAAAACTGGGACTAAAATCCAATGTCATGAAAATGAAAAGGATAAAATCAAATATTTTGCGGCAGAAAACTTCAAATCAACGGGACACCAGACCAAACCAGAACTAAACCAAGACTAAACCAGCTCTAAACCAGGTCTAAACCAGGTCTAAACCAGGTCTACCCAGACTGACCCGCTCCTCCTCGAAGCTGATGAGTCCTTCGTCTTCGCTCAGGTCTTCGGGGGCGTCGCTGATCAGAGCCGAGAGTTCAGTCTGAACCGAGCGAGACTTTAACAGACTGAGGATCTTCTGCAGAGGAGACTGTCCAGCAGAGGGCGCAACCTCCACCACCTCCTGCTCCAGGTTGTCACTCTGCTGCTTCGCAAAGTTCACGAACACCTGAAGAAGAACAGGCAAAGTCCAGGTTTAGTCCTGGTTCAGTCCTGGTTCAGTCCTGGTTTAGTCCTGGTTTAGTCCTGGTTCTGGTTTTAGTCCTGTTGGGTTAGTCCGGTTCAGTCCCGGTTCAGTCCCGTTAAGTCCCGGTTCAGTCCCCGGTTCAGTCCTGGTTCAGTCCGGTTCAGTGGTTCAGTCCTGGGTTCAGTTCAGTGCTTCAGTCTGGTTCAGTCCTGGTTCGGTTTAGTCCTGTTCAGTCCTGGTTCAGTCCTGGTT